TCCGCTTACAAAAGGCTTAACTAGAGAGGGAGATGAGAAATCATCTAAGGGAATGGGACTATGGCCGAGGACAAGTCAACATGGCGGTAACTCTACCTAGAATTTTGGATGTTCCGAGATCTAGGTTCAAGGAGCTCAAACAAAGTTGTGATTGACCGGTTCAACATTGTCAAAGTAAAATCTTTGGTCCCTTCTCGTGATGAAGATAATGTTCAGTAACAAGGATAGAACTTTACACGTTCTTTAATGATTACCTAAGTTTGATTTGGTATTTATCAAATAGTGTCAATCTAAAGGATTACACGTTTAGGAATCACCTATGTAAGTGTGAAGTGGAAGCCGCTTCAATGAGAATTTTGTAAGGCCAATTCTCTACACACTTATGAAACCAGGCGGTGTTCATGGCTGAAACGAACACAACAATGAGAACCAAAAGACGGTTAAGGGTTGGTTGTGTGACATATGGTTGTCTAGGTATACACTAAAGTTCGACAGTTCAAAGATATCAAATCTACCGATTGACCGAGTATATCCGACATATATTCACTACGGAAAGTTCAAAGGGAAACCTACTTATCCAGATGCGATTAATCCTTACTTGCAAATCACACAGCTTTCATGATCATTCTTGTTACAGCCATTCCCATTCATGTGGGGGATTGTTGGACTTTAAAGGCATTGGGCTTCAAAGACTTTAAGCACTGGGCTTTAAAGTCTAAGAGTGTGAATTGGAAATTGTGGGAAATAAAATGAAGGGAAATGAAAATTTGAATAAAGTGAGCTTTTGACTTGCACTTTGTCCCTCATTGGTGAGGGACAACTACAATTGTGTGCTTATATATAGAATCACTTCTTAAAGCTCTTAAAAGGAGTTGAAGAGAATGAACCCTCGCATCGTCGTTGTCGCTCGCTCGGCTCGGCTTTGGCTTTGGCTTTGGATTTGGATTTGGATTTGGATTTGTCAAATGATCGATCGATAAGATTATTTTTGGACAAAATTTATTTAATTAATTATTTAATAATTAATTAAATGCCATATCACTGCTGAAGATTCAGAAGGATAATCTGGCCGTGGTCCTGGCGTAACCGCGGTAGGACCGCGCCAGAACACTGCTGCAGATTCAGAAGGCTAGTTTGGCCGCGGTCCTGGCGTAACGTAGCGGACAACATATTATGCTGGAGTTCCAGCATAAGTATACTTGAACTCCAACATATTATACTGGAGTTCCAGGATAAGTATGTTGGAACTCCAGCATAATATGATGGAGTTCCAGCATAAGTACACTAGAACTCCAGCATAATATACTGGAGTTCCAGCAAGTATACCGGTCCAGCATAATATACTGGAGTTTGGAGCACCGGTGCTCCAGTCTCCAGTATATTATACTGGAGCCAGCAAAGTATACCGGTCCAGCATAATATGCTGGAGTTCATACACAGGTGCACCGAACTCCAGTATATTATGCTGGACTGGTCTTTGTTGCAGCAAAATAGTGGCTATTTTTCATTGACTTGGTAAACGCTGGCTATTTTTGAATGAACAGTCCGAAAACTGGCTATACCGTGCTATTTGACGTTATGGACTCGTAACAAAAAGACATGCAAAAATTGGCTTAATCTTTTCTATATAGTTTTGGATATGAGCAAATTCTTGAAAGATTTATAGCCTGTTTGGCCAAGCTTTTTTTTGGGCCAAAAGTATTTTTTTTTTTGCCAAAAGCACTTTTGGCCAAAAATTGAGGTGTTTGGCCAAGCTTTTGGAAGGAAAAAAAGTGCTTTTGAGGAGAAGTAGAAGCAGTTTTGGAGAAGCAAAAAAAAGTAGCTTCTCTCCAAAAGCACTTTTCCGAGAAGCACTTTTGAGAAAAATACACTTAGAAGCAGTTTTCAAAAGCTTGGCCAAACACTAATTACTGCTCAAAAGTGCTTTTTTAATTAATTAGCCGAACACAAACTGTTTTTCACCAAAAGCACTTTTTTAAAAAGTACTTTTGAGAAAAGCACTTCTCAAAATAAGCTGATTTTAGAAGCTTGGCTAAACGGGCTATTAGCAACAATGTACAGTAAAATTACACATATTTTTAGATTTAATAATATGTAGTCAAATTAATTAAACTTTTTGTCTGGTTAAATACAGCGGTGCACACTTGGCGGACATTTTTTTTTGGGGGATTTTGAAAAATTATGAAGATCGAAATGTAGTGGGTGTTTGGACATAAGAATTGTGAAATTCTAAAAAAATTAAAAATTAAAGAAATATTCAAGTGAAAAATGGTATTTGAAAATTAGAGTTGTGTTTGGACATGAATATAATTTTCGGTTGCTTTTGAAGTTTTGTGAGTGATCTGAGTGAAAATTTTGAAAAATAGCTTTTTGGGGTTTTTCAAATTTTCAAAAAATTCCAAAATGTATCTTCAAGTGAAATTTAAAAATTTTATAACCAAACGCTGATTTCGAAAAAAATTAAAAAATTTCGAAAAAAGTAAAAACATTCTTATGTCCAAACGGGCTCGTAATATAACATATTGTTGGACCTCAAGTTAGTTTGGGTCAGCCTAGTAACAGAGAACGACCCAATCAGTCTAATAGTGCAATGTCTAGTTGTGTAACGTTTGGGATTATAGACTCTGGTGCTACTAATCATATAACACCTTATAAATCACTTCTCAGAGATATCAAACCTCTAACTTTTCCTTATCTTGTAACTCTTCCTGATGGTTACAAGGTTAAAATAACCTGTACTGGAACACTTTCTTTTTCCTCTGATATTTCTCTTCCTAATGTGTTTTTTTGTACCTTCTTTTCATTATAATCTGATTTCTTTGTCTGAATTGCTATTACACCTAATTAGTTATGCACTTTTCACACCTACTTCTTGTATCTTGTTGCAGGGCCCTTTTCTGAAGAAGCCACTAGTTCTTGGTAGATTTCAGAAAGGGTTATATCTTCTGCATTCAGATACTCTTTCTCCCATTGATTCATGTGATTCTGCATTTGTAAATACCATAACTGCCATCCTTGATGATTCTAATAAGAGCAGTTCTGATTTCAATTTTGAGTCTACTTCATTAACTGATAATATTGCTCATACTTTACCTTTTACATTGTCTCTTGATCATGTTTGGCATTTGAGGTTGGGTCATGTACCTTTTTCTAAAATGAAAAATATCCCTTTTCTATCTGATAAACTATATAAGAAACAGTCCTTCTTGTGCCCTATTTGTCCCATGGCTAGGCAACAAAGACTACCATTTTCTGAGAGCACCATTCATTCTTCTACTCCTTTTCAACTAGTTCACGTTGATCTTTGGGGACCCTATCACACTCAAACCTATAATGGATATAAATATTTTATTACCTTTGTGGATGATTTTACCAAGGCAGCATGGACTCATCTGTTCTCATCTAAAGCAAATGCTCTTACTATACTTAATCTTTTGTCCTTATGATTCAAACTCAATTTGGTTGTCCTGTTAAAATCATTAGGTCTGACAATGCTTTTGAATTGGGTTCTAGTTATGAGGGAATTTCTTTCTTTTCTGCTCAAGGAATCCTCCACCAAACTTCCTGTCCACACACACCTCAGCAAAATGATATTGTAGAAAGGATACATAAGCATTTATTAGAAACTGCAAGGGCTCTTCTTTTCCAATCTAAATTGCCTGTCAAGTATTGGGGTGAATGTGTTTTGACTGCTACATATCTAATAAACAGATTCCCTTCCCCATTGCTACAAAATAAGCCACCTTTTCAGCTACTGTATGGTGCTTCTCCTTCCTTCACTCATCTCATAGCATTTGGATCCTTAGCTTTTGCTGCTGTGCCAAAGTCTTATAGAGACAAATTTAAATCCAGAACCATCTCCTCTGTTTTTCTTGGTTATAGTCCTAGAAAGAAGGCCTACAAACTACTGAATCTTTCTTCCTTAGTCATCTTTCATTCTAGAGATGTAGTTTTTCATGAGCATGTCTTTCCATTCTCTATTTCATCATCATCCTCTTCTTCTCATTTATTTCCTCCTTGTTTCTCTACTTCCCCAACTTCTCCTCCTCCTGATCCTATTCCTTCTTCTGCATCTGTTTCTCCTACTCCCTCTTCAGAATCTTTTCCTTCTTCATATTCTTTTGATTCTTATCTTCCTCTAAGGAGGTCATAAAGACCACATCAAACTCCTGGTTATTTGAAGGATTATGTATGCACCAATGTCTCTAAGTATGAACCTTCTCTTTTATTTGGTGAGGCTTGTTTGCTAGAACCTCAATTCTATCATCAAGCTGTGGGTCATCCTGCTTGGCAGGATACCATGTTGAAAGAGTTTCAAGCCCTAGAAGCCAATAACACTTGGGAGATAGTGCCTCTTCCTCCAGGGAAGAAAGTCATCCCTTGTAAGTGGGTATATAAGATTAAATAGAAGGCCGATGGGTCAGTTGAGAGGTACAAGGCTCGATTAGTCATTAGAGGGGACAAACAACATGAGCGTATTGATTTTACTGAAACTTTTTCCCCTGTGTCAAATCAACAACAATCAGATGTCTGTTATCTGTAGCTATTAAAAGAAATTGGACAGTCTTTCAATTAGATGTAAATAATACTTTTTTACATGTGGACTTAGATGAAGAGGTGTTCATGAAGATTCCTCAAGGTCTTTCTGTCCAATCTGCTTCCTCTTCCTCCACTACTCTAGCTTGCAGGTTGAACAAGTCCATTTATGGACTTAGGCAAGCATCTCGACAGTGGTATGCCAAATTATCTTCAGCATTGCAATCTAGAGGTTTTCATGCTAGCCTGGATGATTACTTTTTATTTACTAAGTTGGTTGATTGTTTTATAACTGTTGTTGTTGTGTATGATGATGATATTCTTGTTGCTGGAGATAATCTGTCTGAGATTACCACCCTTAAGCAATTTCTAGATGCTGAATTCAAGATCAAAGAACTTGGAGAGCTTCATTATTTTCTTGGATTGAAGATCTTGGATTTCTAGTCTGTCAACACAAATTTATCATGGACCTCTTATCTGAGTTCCATTGTTCTAATGTCTCTTCAGTGGTGGCTCCTCTTGACCCTCATGTTAAATTGTCTGCTGAGCTTGGTGAGCTTTTGCCTGATCCCTCTCTTTATAGGAGGCTTGTGGGTAAGCTAAATTATCTTCAGCACAGACCTGATTTGTCTTTTACAGTCCAGCATTTAAGCCAATTCATGTCTTCCCCAAGAGTTCCCCATTTGAATGTTGTTTTACATGTCTTACGATATTTGTCTAGTACTAGCACTTTGGGGTTATTGTTTTCTGCTGGTTCTCCATTTTCTCTCCAAAGTTATTGTGACTCTGATTGGGCGAGTTGTGCTGATTCGAGGAGGTCAGTTAGTGGTTTTATTCTGTTTCTTGGTGACTGTCCTGTCTCTTGGAAGTCTAAGAAACAACTTACTATTGCTTTGTCTTCTGCTGAGGCTGTGTATAGGGGCTTGAGGTTGCTTGTTGCCGAGATTACTTGGATTCTCCGGCTACTGGCTGAGCTTGGGGTTTCTTCTCTCACTCCTGTGGACGTGTATTGTGACAATCAGGCAGTTGTGCATATTGCAAGAAACCCACTGTTTCATGAGCGTACCAAGCATATCGAGGTGAACTGTCATTTTATGCGCAGTGCTTTGACTTCTGCCTCCTCTCAGTTGGCTGATATTTTTACCAAGTCATTAGTAGGTGCTCAGCAACAGCTCCTTATATCCAAGCTTGGAATGACCTCCCTTTCCAGCTTGCNNGGTACCCCAAATGTGTAAGATATGGGTCCACAAATATGTGAGATAAGAAGAGGCCTCACACAACTAATGTAAATTGTATGAGACACAAAATAAAATCACTCATTACAGTGACTGCCACTAGGCAAGATTGGCATGGGACATTTAACGTATGGCATTTTCTGAAGTTTCAGAGTTTGAAAATGAAAATCAAACTTTCCGCCGCATAATATCTGGCAGCGTATTTGGAAAATCGAAAAAATATTCCTACTTTTAAAAAGTGTGAGTGTTAGAAATCATTTCTTCCCATCCATGTTTCAATTACAAATTCTATAGGGGAAAAAGGCAAAAAGTGAATGTTGGGCGTCAATTTAGGCCTAAAGTGTCCCGCTCTAATTATTTATTTTTTTCAATTGTAAAAGAAACTAGACTAACTACATTTTTAATAGTAATTTTATTATCTTTTTAAAAAAAATTGAGCATGTAACATCATAGTAGGATTTGCATGCCTAGGAGTTTTGCTTGGTCTTTTTGAGGAAACAATTATCAAAGCAGAAGCAATTTTTGGCAGAAACATCTGATATAGGGAGGGCATTTTCTCCTAATTAGCTGTCTCCAAATATTCCTTACCCTTTAACTCATGAATTGAGCTGCTTTTTCATCGTACCAAATATTCTCATGTCTCGAGCATTATTTGGAAGGAGAAAAAAAGATAAGAGCAAGGATGAGCAAAATTTAAATAATGGTTAATGAAATTTGGCCAAACAGTTACCAAATAAAGAACACTCTGCTGACATCAATATTAAAAAAATGTTGTGATTATGCTTTTTTTGAGTCGAGAGGTGAGTGAAAATAGTTTTTCTATTGTCACAAGGTAGAGATAAGATTGCATACATACTATCTTGTAAGATCACAGTTATTGTATGCTAAAATCAAAAATATTTCTGCTCTTAATATAAACCTGTTTCCAAATTCCAATTCATATTTTGGTACTCTCACTATTAATGAGTGTTAGAGTTAGTTAATTTGGTGCTAATTACAAGAGGTTTTGGACTTTTCAGCGAAATTCTAGGGGTATGCGGCGTTTCCTTTGCTTTTTTTTTAGCCGTTGGGAAAGTCCGGTGGAGTTCTTCCACCTTTTAATCAATTTGATCCCCAAAATAAGGGCTCGTCGGTCATATTTAAACGTTTGGAATATTACTTTTGAAAATAATAAAGTTGTTATATTCACATAATCACTATAAAAACAAAAAAAAAAAGAATCTCAGGAGGACAACTAAAGTAGTCGAGAGAGGACACATTAGTAGTGTGATTAGTTCAAATCTTAACGTTCTCGTGATAATTACTGTCTAATTGATTATCTGATAATCTATATCTCTATAGTAGTTACGTGCCAATACAGTATATCGAAGAACTAAATCTGATTGGCAAATTAAGACGAAAATATTTGTAAATCGTACTCACGAAATTTAGCTAAGTTCTTCACAATCAAAACGTGATAAGAGATTCAAAAACTAAATAGACTCCTATCCAATATACACTTGGTAAGAATCAGGATTTCAAAATTAAACAAGCTCCCAAAACTTTGTTAAAGTCGAATTAAAAGATAAGCAACATAAGGGAAAGAGGTAAATGGTAATACACATCTAGGGCCTGCATGGCCATAAAAAAAATTTACTTTTTCCCGAAAATAATGTTTGACCATGAAAATTTCAAATTTTATTTGAAGATGAATTTAGTAATTTTTTGAAAATTTAAAAAACTTCAAAAAAGTTGTTTTCAAAATCTTCACTTCCGATCAGTCACAAAAATTCAAAAACAGCTCCAAATTATATTCATGTCCAAACACAACTCTTAATATTCAAATAACATTTTCACTTGAATTTATTTTCATTTTTTCCCGAAATTTTATAGTTCTTATGTTTTGGACATAGAATTGTAAAATTTCGAAAAAAATGAAAAAATATTCGGGTGAAAATGATATTTGAAAATTATAGTTGCGTTTGGATATAAATATAATTTTGTGCTAATTTTAAATTTTGTGAGTGATCTGAAGTGAAAATTTTGAAAATAATTTTTTAAAGTTTTTTAAATTTTTAAAATTTTTGAAATTCATCTTCAATTGAAAATTTTATGGCCAAACATTGATTTAAAAATAAAATGAAAATTTATCGGAAAAAAAGTGGAATTTAATAGGGTTCAGCAGAAGAGGACGCATAATTTAGGATTCTAAACCACGTGTCTTTCCTGCTCGCGTCATGACCCGACCCAGATCCAACTTGACGCGTACCCGCCCCATTATCTTCTTACACAATTTATACCCCCCATTCCAGCATTTTTCCTCTCCATTCTTTTGCAACCCCAAAACAGAAAAGTTCCCAAAACTTTCTCCATTTCTTATCACCTTTTCTCTTTTTCTCAAAAAAATGGCTTCCAAAATGAACTCATTTGCTCTTTTTTGCCTTGTTTTAATGTGGGCTTTTTCCTCTACGACTGTAGATTCAGCATCTCGCCAGGCAGCGCCTGCTCCAGCGGTGGACTGCAACAACTTGGTACTCAACTTGGCTGACTGTTTGTCATTTGTTACAAATGGTAGTACAGAGAAGAAGCCACAAGGCACTTGCTGTTCAGGCCTGAAAATGGTGTTGAAAACAGACGCTGAGTGTCTCTGTGAGGGTTTCAAAAACAGCGCTCAGTTGGGTGTTGTTCTGAATGTCACTAAGGCTATGGCTCTTCCTGCTGCTTGCCATGTCTCTGCTCCTTCTGTTAGCAACTGTGGATGTGAGTTTTCCTTATAAACATTTTTTTTTTGTTTTTTCCTCTTGAAATTTTTACTAGAAAAACATTTTCCCTAGCATTTGTGTGCTTTCTGCTTCCGACGAATAATCAGATTTTTTACCTTAAAATTTTAATGTTGAAAATATTTGGAGATTGTAATCGTATTTTTCTGTTTGTTTTGTATTTGTACAGTGAGTACTGACACTGGAGCTGCCCCTGGTACGTACAGATCTGGCTTATTATTTTTTAGAACTTCTTTTATGTCGGTTTGACTGTGGTCTTTTTGTTTGGGTTAAATGATTTCTGCAACGTGGTTAAATTAGTTTAAGTATCACGTAACATTCTTAATATTTGTAGACATAAAAAAAATTAACCTGATGAGTGCTAATGTGGTTAAGTGCTAGATCTTGACCTCTAGTTGAATATCCTGTAATCTAATTCAACCCCCCCTCCAAAAAAAGAAATTCTTTCAATTTTTGGAGATGTGGATGGATAAAGATAAGGAAAGAAGGCGATTATTATTTGAGAACATTTTGTTTCTCATTATTTTGTGCATATTCTTGTTTTATTAGTATACTGTTGACATTCTCCTGATGTGGCGGTTCCGGTGTGTTCGTGAGAATCCAAATGTTAAAAAGCTGTGTAGTACATTCAATTAAACGTCTGTTTTCATTAATCCTAATTCCTAATTTCATCTTCAACAATTGGCTAGAGACTATAAGATTCAATTTCTCTGCTTGAGGTTAGATGCAATATGTAAAACTATAAGAAAGGAATCTATGGGAATGCATTTTGGTTCTATAAAAGGTATTTTTGTTGTCGTTAATTATTCTCCACGGGAGGTCGCGTATAGTGTTAGGAGTATAATGAGTTCATCTGCTTTTGCTACATGTTTTCCTTATGATTTGATTTATTAAGGGGTAAGCAATATTCAGTGTAAGCTGAACAAACTGGCTGAACTCAAAAAATATTTTTCCAGTAAGTGCAGTCTTACAATATTGATGTTGTAAAGTTTGGTTTTCTTCATGCTCTTTTGTTTTTTAATCCCGTTGACGGGCTTAAATTTTAAACGAGTTGAGGTGTCCGTGTAGTAGAGGGTCTGGATGACAAAACGGTGCAAGTATTACCATCTATTTGGCTATTAGGCCTTTTATTTATGTGAAACCATGAGAATGTTGCATTTCCTATCTAGAAAGATCAAACATATTTAGTTTACTATAGATGATGAATTACAACAAGTTGTCATATTGTACCAAGTGTAAGAACAGTTGGCAGTAGATTTAGTTCTTTTATTTTCTGGTGCAGCTCTTTCTCCAATTGCTGTATCACCTACCACGTCAGCGGCAGTTGCTCCAACCACTGCCGAAGGTGCTAGTGAAGTTGCTCCGGCACCAGCTCCAGGAAGCTCCGATTCTACTACACTTGGTCTATCCATTGGTCAAGTGGTTCTGACCGTAATGGCTGTAGCTTTCTTTTGGTTCTAAACATATTCTAGGATTGTGGTTTTTGCTGGTTCTAAGCACATTTTAGGGTTGCGTTTTGCGGGGAAACAGCGGAGATATTGTTGTGGTGTTTTGTTATTGAACCTTGCTATTGGGTGCAGTCTAATTCTATTAGTAGAGGTAGGCAATTTATGAGACCAGCGTAAATAGTGATGACACTGCAGTGTCACTTGTTTTTGTTATGAGTTTTTTATTTGGATGATTTCTCCTACTTTTATTTTCGTTTGTGTTTCATTTAAATTGGTTCTCGATTATTATTGCCCAAAAAAAAAAAAAAAAGACTTTTACAAGAGTCCAAGTAACATGGAGTAGTTTTTGCTGCTGCGAACTGATATTTCGACCTGGAGTACCACTTAATTTAAAGTGGGCAATACTTGGTTATTTACTTGATGTTGGTGCTTTTGTCTTCTCTCCTTTTGACCTTTGTCTTTTATTCACAGGCACTTGACCCTTGTATTTGGTACTCGTATAGCTTGTTTTTTCATGCATCAGTGAAAGTCCATTTTTCCTTGCTTTTCTGGCGAAGATTTACTGTCTATGTTGGTTTGGTTCCCGTATTTTTTTCCTCTGACCATAGCTATGTCAGGATCCTTTTCATGTACTGGACCTCAGCAGTTTGCTTGCACAGGACAATGGTCCAGCGGAATCTGTATCTGTTTGCAGGACTATTCGGAGAGTCCTGGAAAAAGTTGCTCTGACTCATGGACTTGACCGTATTTGATTCCTTTTTATGTTCTTTGATGCCCGTTCTATTACTAGTAATAAAAAGAATTTGCTCTCATTATTACAAACTAAGAGAAAGTCCCAAAATAAAAAACAAAAAAGAACTAGTAGTCGCTAGGGTGTCTCCAAGCAGAAGGTGAAGTGCATGCATATGTGAATGAGCTTGGTGATTCTGCCCAACTAGGAGGATAAGTTGACCTCTTGGATTTCACGCCACAATGTTCAATCTAAAGGGAATGTGATTGTTATCATAATTTCCTTGTTATTTCATCTAGTTTATTCTGTTTTAAAATTTCTCTACTAGAGATTGTACGCGTTTTCAAGGTTTCCCATCTGCTAAATTTTTGGAGGATAGAGTTAAGAACAATCGGCTGTGAATAAACTAGTCCGGATACCATCGATATAAAAAAAATATATAGGTGCCTTGAATGTACTTCAATTTGCAATGACTAAGGTTTCTATAGTTCTGAAACATAAAATTTCAACTTGTAAGCTCCTTTTCCAGATGCTTACTGTATGGGTCAAAATCTGGCTAAGGAAATCTAGCACGAGGCTAGATTATCAATAGGCGATTAGGCCGAGGTCTTGCACAAGATTAAAGAAACCAACGGGCGAGCTGATTAATCGGGGCCGAGGTCAGGAATTCTCGCCGGCTATATCGGCTAGTTTTGTAGTAAAATATTTTAGGGAATATTCTATCGAAAATTCTCTGTACGGAAGGGGGAGAGAAGAAGGGGGTATGTAATATTTTATATGATATGTTCTCTCATGAAAAGTGGACTCTCAAGTAAATTACAAACATTATCTTTACATAATGATTCGATTTGTTGTTCATCCCACTTTTACGCATCAGATCCGAGAACAACAACAACAACAACAACAAATCCAGTTTGATCCCAACTTACGCATCAGATCCGAGAAAGCTTCTTATATTTTCCACGTTTGTTTGCCGTACATCATTGTCAAAGGGAGAATCATCCACCTCATTCAATATTTGGGTGAATCATTCTCCCTATTTTCATTTATTGTCATTTAATATATTTATTGCTTATCATTATTCTCCCACACACTTATAACAGTACCATTTAATACCCATTTGCATTGAACTTGTTCAAATGCAATTATACATTATTTGTACTTCCTCCGGTCTAAAATAAGTGATTTTTTGGCCTTTTTTTTGTGGTCCAAAATAAGTGATTTTTCCAAATTTCAAGAATGAATTAATTATTTTTTTCCTACATTGTCCTTGGAGTAAATAGTGTTGGAGTATGTGTTAGGAGTATTTATGTGAGATAGTAAAGGTTAATATGGTCAATTTCATTATTAATTAATGCTAAAAGATGGATTTCTTAATCTGTGTGAAAACATCCAAAAAATCATTTATTTTGGACCGGAGGGAGTATCAACCAATTTCAGATCTAGAATTTATTATGTTTAACTAGGATTACCTTCTATCGTCTCAATTAATTAGTTTAACAAAAAGGTTTAATACTTTTTGGTCAAACAGTTAAGATAAGAAATTAATGACTATGATTTGATTTGTGCTCCTCAGACCTCACCACCAGGATGTTTCTGGGTCCCAAAAAATTAGAATGGAAATGGTGTGGTTTCCTGTTTTCTCATGTATTCACTTGCTTAACTTGTTTAAAGCTAATTCTGCCAGTAGAAGTTTAGTGATCTATGGAATCACATAGGATTTCAAATACTTTCAGTTCAAATGTTATAGTAAATAATATTACCACACTCTCCTAGGGTCAGTTCAAATATATTAGTGCAACTCAAATTCCTTGATTGCACATTTGGATAACTCATCAAATCACATTGAATTCTATTGCAGTCAAATTGCAATAAGAAAATGTACATTAAGTTAACTTGATCTCTCTGTTATTGTATAAAAGCACTAGAGAAACGCCTCAGCCAGTTTATGCAGGACCCTAGAGAACCCCATTTGAAGGCTGCTTTCATTTGTTGAGGTACCTCAAGGGTGATCCTCTTCTGGGTGTGTTTATGTCTAATGATACAGACTGGTCGATCAAAGCCTATTGTGACTCTGACTGGGCAGCTTGTCCGCACTCAAAAAAGTCTGTTAGTGGCTATATTGTATTGCTAGGAAGTAGTCCTATTAGTTGGAAATCCAAGAAGCAAGAGACAGTTTCATTGTCTTCAGCAGAAGCTCAGTACAGATCCTTGAGAAAAGTGGTTGGGGAGTTAGTTTGGTTGAAAAGGTTACTTGATGAACTAACAGTTCTCTCTCCTGCTCCTGTTAGAGTGTTTTGTGATAGTGAATCAGCTTTACACATAGCAAGGAACCCAATATTTCATGAACGCACCAAACATATCGAGTTGGACTGTCACTTTGTTCGAAAACAACTACAGGAAGGTCTGGTTTCCTTGCATCACATTGCCACCAATGACCAGCTTGCAGACATTCTTACCAAGGCACTCACAGGCATCAAGCACTCTACTGTTCTGAGCAAGTTGGCTGTGCTTTCTCCACCTCTAACTTGAGGGGGTATTGAGATAAGATTGAATTTATTCTTTTCTGTATATATTTGTATGTTAGTTAAGAGATAGTTTTAGTCAGTTGGTTAGTTAATTGTGATACAGCTGGCAGTAGTTAGTGGTTGAGATGCACAGCTATTAATTATGCGTATATATACTACTGTATAGATTCAATGTAAGCTAAGCTTCATTCTTCAACAAAAGTGTTTCTTTTCTGCTCTCATCTTTCTCCTCTTCCACAAGAACTCTTTAGAAGCTTCCAGATTAAGCCATTGGAGCTGAAGTTGAGCTCCACTGAGCTCATTACAATCGCAATCTTATCACATATCATTCTCCAGGGTCAGTTTAAATATATTGATGCAACTCAAATTCCTTGATTGCACCTAAGTAATATAGTATACATTTAATGGATAACTCATCATCTAATTACGTTGAATTTTATTGCAGTCAAATTGCAATAAGAAAATGTACATGAAGTTTGATTTCTCGGTTATTGACTTATTGTATACAAGCAGTAGAGAAATTGAAAAAGTTCCAATACAATGTAGTAACTAAATTCAATGTCTTAAATAGGATATCGTCAACACAACTCCAAATATAGCTTCAAACTGAATGCAAGAGCTAAGAAAAATTGAGAGTTGTCTATATTGTATTAATCTGTAAATTGTCATTTCATTTCTTCAGAGAAAGTGGAAAATATATATATATATATATATATAAAGGTTAAGTTTGGGGTAATGGTGGACAAAAAAAATTAAAAAAGCTGGCTCAAGTTTTATATAGGCCAAAGATATCAGCATCAATACTGGCATTGTTCACATGATGGCATTTTAACAATTTTCCACACCTTGACCTTTTCAATGAGGGGACCATAAGATTTAAACAGTCTACCTAAATAGAAATTAAATACAAAAATACTTTTGAGGTTTCTTTTTGGCTACTTCTTTTAAACACATTAACAAGTCTTTTTCTCCTGCTTATGCAATGATCAAATCAAACAACATTGTTTGGCCACTTTTAGGTATGCAGTTCTTCTCCTCCTCTTCTTCTTCAACAACTATTCAGGGCCAAAATTCAGCTCTTTTCACTTTCGATATGCTTTCCAATACACCAACAGGTGACACGTGTCCCATCACAGTTACCCTTTTGCTATCCAAGTCTATGCTGAATGATGTCACCCCTGCTCATTCAAAATAACTCTGAAATCAAACCAACAACAACGAAAAACCCAGTAGTTTTTCACGAGTGGGGTCAGGGTAGGGTAGGATGTACGCAGCTTTACCCTTACCCTTACCCCTACCTTTGGAAGGGCAGAGAGGCTGTTTCCGATAAATCCTCGGCTAGAGTACGACTAAAAAGGAAGGTAATTGCAACAAGTAGGAATAACAACAAGATAAATTAACTCGAAATCAAACCATTCCCTTTAATAATAATATTTAAGTTAAATACATCGCACATCAATTTAGTCGGCTATAACAGCAATTTGGAAGATAAGGTCATATGTAGTAATCATGAAACGTTAATCCTTTGACTAAATACAATCTAGTATGGTCATTATTGGACATGATAGCTCATACTATCATAGAAAAGCAGTAGGTAAAAGAAAAATCTTGAAACTGCAAGGGCATGCAAATTATGCAACTGCTTCATTATATATAATGGAAAAATTGTAAGTCTTCTGGTTCAAGTTGAAACCTTTTAAGAATATTCAATGTAGCTCGTGATCTTTCTTGGTGACATTATAAATCATTGTCTCTACTCTCCAGTAATAACTTATTAACCCCCCCCCCCCCCCCCCACCAATACAAAAAAACAAAATCCCTGCAAAAAGTAATAATGCTATCTAAACTTCTCTACATGAAAACTGCAGTGATGTATGATTCTTTTATGATAAAATTATCAAGAGGGGGAGGAAAAAAAAAAAAGATTTATGAAGACAAATAGGAGTGGTATAGTATCAAGTTTGTATACCTTCCATTTTGGAGAGATGTTTCTTCACTTTACCAGCACAGCCTTGACAATGAAGAGATACTCTCATCACAACAACCTGCATTAATATATGCTACCACCTTAAACACACTATTTTTCCTTTTTTGCCAACGAGTAAATACAAAAAATGATTTTAAGATCATAAAAGAATGTAACCTGGAATGTACTGTTATCTGAAGAGAGTAGTGAAGGAACAACAATTTGGGAACCTTTTTCTTCATCTTTCTTAATAGTCAAAACAGGAACAGAGGAAACAGCACCAACACCATTTCTTGATCTCCTACTAATAGTAGCAGCAGTACTGATCATAGGCACAAGTGTACGAGGTACATCTCCTAACCTAGTACACTTAGCGTAGTTGTTAACTAATTTTGCATGTTCTTCCGCCAACATTCTACGTCGCGCCGCCGGCACGACAACCGACCTTGAATCACAGCTCATGCACACTGCAGTTGCCACTTCAGGCTGGCACATAAATCCTCTGATCATCTTCCTGCTGCCTCCTAATTTCTTGTAGTTCATATCCTTGTGTATTTTGTTGTATATTTCCTTTGTTTTGGGGATGTGGAAGAAGTAGGGACAAAGTTTTTGAGGTTGTTGTGAAAGATATATGGTGTATAAATATGGACAAATGAAGTGAAGAGAGTAGAAGTAATTAGGAGAAGAAATGCTTCTCTTTATGACTTAGCAACCAGTGGGGCTTGGTACTTGCTAGTGGTAGAGTTGCATACTTCACAATATTTCTATAATGAATTTAAGTCATATACGCTTATAGGATAAAGAGTTTTTATATTATCAGTGCAGTTTAACACATTATAATTATACGTTAGTTACTATATTTATAAGGTTACCAACTATACTTATTACATAGATTTACATCGATTAACCTTAGAAGTGACTTGATCATATAAATATATTTTATACTGTCGATGCATAGAACTTAAATTCTTGTAGAAATACCATTTTTAAGCTATGTTTGGATATGAGGAAAAAAATAAAGTGGCTAAAACATTAAATCGTCTGCCAATTATTGTATCCCTGAAAGAGACTCATGAAAAATAGTAGTTATACTTCAGTATTTAAGACAAGCTTTTTCTTTTAGTACAATGAAAACTTATTACTCATAAAAAGTAGGAGGGATATATTATAATCTTTGAAGTTGGGATGGTCAAATGAATCAGAGATGAACAGAAGAGTATCAGTTTTAGTAGTAGTACAATAAATGAATCTGTAAGGTCAAGACATTTGGGCAAATACAGTACAACTTAGTTCAAACTTCTATTTTTTTTGTTGCTGCAGTTTCAAAGTCAGAGATTTGAAATTTGTCCGGATTCCTGTGAATGGAGCCAGAATAACAGATACAGTACCAAATGCCCATCATAAACCAGTTCAAAACAGAAATTGCTTTGATTCTTTTGACTATTTCTGTGTACAGAAAGAAACAGCTGAGTCCTTAATTATCTATGAAATTTAGATAAAAATGATGCACAAAATAGGATATAACATAATTGTTTCTAAGGTTTGTACATCATGGTAGCTCTTTACTTTTAGGATATGCTCAATTGAGCATCAAATACATCTGTATTTACCTAACATTATAGCAACTTGCTTCTACCAAAAATTAATACATCACCTTCCTTCTTTAGTATATGGGGTTATTGGCGTTGCAGTATCCTAAAGTCAGATGAAGATGAAGTCAGAAAACGAGTTTCTTTGGGTGGTCCTAAAGATGGATGACAAATTATTTTGTGATAACAACCCAAGCCTAAAAATATTCATGAACATTTATTGGTTTGTTTAAGATTAATAGACACATCCCTTTCCTTTCAGATATTGCATACGCACAGAAAAAATACTTAGTGAAAATGTCACTCTCAAACTGACCTACCAAAAATATATACAAGATTACATATGTTTGTACATAGAAGGATCAACTCATTTGCCAAATATACAAATCTTCCTCTTTTCCCTATTTTTTTTTTTTTTGTTCTAAAGTACTAAAAAGCAAAATCTACAGTTTTGTCCTCATTAATCAGCAATACAATGCCGAATTTCATCCTCATTAATCAGCTCAGCAGTATGCACTTGGCTATATATGGCGCTAATCCATCGTAATTTGTAACTCACATAAAATGAAGTTCTTAAGCAGCAGGAGTCAACCAGAGACCATACATTTTCAGATGTACAAAGTCTTGGTTGAACAGACTTTTGGATATAGAGATGCATAAAATTATTGTTGGATTCCGGTTAGAGTTCATATGTGCTAAGGTCTGAGAACGCGATGTCACCAAAATAAGCAGTTATGCTCTTCAACCTTCCATGAAGCATATTCTCTTCAATCTGCATAAGGAACCCAGTTCTAGTAAAACTGTTTAATGTACCATGCTAGCACAACAAAGAGAAGCAGACTACCTCGACTTTCATAGGCGGAGAAGACAACCAAGAAAGCTCTTCAACTTGCTGTAAGTCCACATTACGAGGCAAATACATAATGATATTTGGTGTTATGCTTTGAGCAACTTGGAACAATGAATAACTGCACAAAAAGTAAAAGAGCTTTTTCAACATGTAACTTAAAAAAGTCTCATCAACATACCACATCCTGATCCTATTAGACAGAAATAAGGTGCATTTGGACTATAGCTCATTAGACAAGATTGGAACATATTAACATAAGGATTGAAAATATTCTCAGAGTTATGTTTTTTTATTTTTATTTTTTGCGAAGTTACTCTCAGATTATCAACAGAAATAGAAATACAGGTATTGGTTTATTAAACCATGGACAGCAGTTGAAGATTGGATTAATTATAACCCCTCCTAACCAGACCCAACTTCTCAATCACATCTGGGAAATTTTATATGATACAAAGCCTGATGATCAAGCTTTGATTCCCACCTTTCAACTGTACCGCCCTTTTTGGCATATTTATCTTTATAGAAAAGTTCTTGGGTTAATTTAAGACAAAGTTGAAAGAAAAAAGGAAAGAAAACAAAAGTTGAACTGCCAAGTGTATAATTGATTTTCAGTGACACCAAAGCCAAATATATGGAAAGAAAAATTAACATAGCGTAAAAAGAGTAGATATAGATTTTACTGAAGAGTGCAACTGATAATGACAGGTCTAAATTGCAACATGAGAAAGAAACTACCAAATAACAAAAACCAGAGTGACATAGAAACATCTAATTAGCCAAATGCAGGACATACCCATTTTTTGGCTTCAGTAAGTCGAGGGTAAAAGTTTCATTTGCTATATATGCTGGACCACCCCATGGAGGTGAAAGAAATACTACGTTCCCCTAGTAAAGAGAAGATGGTAACATTTAGGAAGAGAAACTGCAAAGGGGAAATTAGAGAATGGCAAGGATTGAATGGGAGTCCCTCAACAACGCATTATATTTCGGTCTCCCTGAATTTCATGGACTTGCAATGCTCAAAACCTTGCAACAGCATTATTAATTGATCCTTGGGGAATCTATTATCCAATTCTTTGTGAGAACATATCACTTGGTGAAAGTACACAAACACATAATCGATGGTCCAATATGCAGCTATCCAACCCATCAAGATCTAACATGCTTTAGTTTCATGCTACTCCAAGGTAAGTGGAAAAATAGCATAGCAAAGAAGTAGAATCTATCAACAGGTAGTTTAAAATCCTCTCACAGTTTAAAATTTTAAGGAGATCTAGTGATACTCTTTAGTCACGGTCAGATTTTCGGATTTAAAAGTTTTACCATCTACTTACAGAACGGGACAATATTTATCATCAAAGCTGCTTCAATAGGCAATTTCTACGGACGTCCAGTGTCAAAATTATTTCATGCAACTAAGGCTGCTTCCAGCAACAAATAAGCAGAGGCTCCTTCAAGTGACAGAAGCAAGCATTTTTGTGGAGACAAATCTGGAATCCTGGATCATACATCATAAGATGGAAACAACAACAGACTTAACCTCACTAGACAAAACAGGATGTTGTATCATCCTCTCCTTTTTTTTTAAGCAAGAATGTTGTATCATCCATTTCTTATGCCAATGGCTGCAGAACAGCCTAAGCTTTAGCCTTGACACAATGGTAAATGTGCTCCAGAACAGTTTGCAAGACATAAATGTTTTTAAATCATTTTGGTTTTCAAGATAGTGAAACTAGGCGAGGACATAATTTCAAAGCTTAACAAAACAAAATACAAATATAAGGTGCCAGAATCACATTTTTGTTAATCTAAGCCATGTTTATCATTTTTGTTGATCAGAGCCATATCTAGACCAAAAAAAAGAAAGTTATAATTAAACTGCCAAACAGAAAGAGCAGTTAACGTGGATCTCTAAATCAAGAGTTCCAAATCAATAGTGCATCATGACTATAACAACCAAACACAATTGTCAAGTTATCTAAATACCAGTAAGGATGGCGTGAAGCATAAAACAGCCTCACTCTTGTGCACGGGTAAAAGATTGACATTTGACCATTCCCAAACTGCACGGCATATAGTCTCATTCTGCCATCAGCTAAATCCTGACAGTCCCATACTGTTCCTTTCTAAAATCTTAATATCCTGGAAGGATAATATTGAGGCAGCATGAGCCTCGTACCAAATGTGAAAATCATGAACACGTTAAAGACTTCTAGATATAGAAAGTTAATATAACAAAACAAATGCACGATCCACTTATACAGATAAACCAACAAACATTCCATCAGATCCAGCTTATCATTTCTATTGACTCCAGCTAGATAAATATGCTATAGCTTTTAATAGAGAGGATATACGTATACCCACAATCGACAGGGAGATACATATATATATATATATATATATATATATATATATATATATATATATATATATATATATATA